TCCTCTCTTCCAGTCAGTAAATGCCATTAATCTTCATGTTCATGGCCTCTCTTGGCATTTTTATTGGTGTTTCTTTCAGATACATCTTAATGTAAGTGGGTTTGATGCCTGAACAATGGATATGATGGAGCCACATAGTCTATCTGGAAAGCACAGCAATCACAGGAATTCTCCTGTTATTCTTCTAGTATCAGCTTTTGGGAGGTGGGTTAGTCTAATAGTTAAGGACTTTGCAGTCAGTTTGCCTAAGCTCAAATTGTGGTGTCATCACCTATTAGCTATTTGGTTCTGACCAAATTTCTTAACTTTGATTTCTTCACCAGTTTTTTGTAAGTTTTAAAACTTCATATTTTCCTGTTGCCTTGACATCTCCACAAACAGGCTCTGAGCACCTGCCCAGATGACCCCTGCAACCAGTTCCCCTTCCTGCCTCCCCTGACTGTGACCTATGACACTCAATGCACCAATAAAACCCCCTCATGTCTTTTGCTCATGTACCCACCCCGACCCCCAGGAAAGGCACTTGCTCACAGGCACTCATTCTGTCTCAGCTTCCTTCCTGCATGGTTGAGCCCATTCCTTCGTGGTGTGCAGTGACTCTGTCCCTCTAGAACCTGTAAATACAAGAACTTTCTTTTCCTGAACCTATCCTGTGTCATCTCTTGTGGCTGCGACTGACTAACTCAAAAATGTGTAGCATTTGATTAAATGAAAAGAAAAATACCATTCTTTTTGGTAGGGAAAACCATTATGAGTAGAGTACAGAGGCAAGAATATACCAGGGCTGTCCTGGGTAGTATGAAAAATAGAGAGCAGGGTCACAATGAGAAATCCCAAAAGATAAGGTTGTTGGATAGCAAGCTAAAATAGAACCTTCAATGCTAGATTAGTATTTGTTCTCTGAAACACAACTTCTCAAAAACTCTTTACTCCAGGTGCCTAAGCATGACTCCTTGGCAAAGTCATTGAAACATTCCAAATGATTCCAAGTGCCTACTGGAATGCAGATATAAGTGGTAGGTGTCACAGTTTTTTAACTGGTGCCCCTTCTCAAAATTAGTAGTCTGTGATGGAGAACTGTACCTCCTAGAATATACTCCCATTTGTGGCATCTCAGATACCAGTTAGTTTTACCCAATTTTGCTTTATCCATCTTAACATTTCTCTTAAATTCTTATCTTTTTCAGTTTTATTTTTCTATTTCTTTCTTATCAAGCTGACTTTTTACCATATGTCTCCCTTAGCATCTAGAGATATCCAAGGACATGTTTAGCTCCAAACTAAAGATATTTCTTCTTCCTGATTCATTTATTCAGCAAATATTTATTGAACACCTACTGTGTTCTGAGAACCCAGTCTAAATGCTTGGACAGATTAGTGAACAAAACAGACAAAATCCTTCTCTCAGAAAGCTTTCATTTGTAAGTAGAGAGAGACAATAAAAGCAAATCATGAGAGATACTCATTATTCTCCCATTTTACAGGTAAAGAAACATGTAGAGAGCTAGATGAATTTCCCAAGGTTATACATTTACTGGATGGTAAAATAACACTAACACTTTTAAGTCTTCGACCACAGATACTCATTGCGAAATAATTGACTATTAAAATGTAGAGATACAGCTCTTCAGCTGGCTTTTGATGTCTAAGATGTACATCTTTTTGCCCTCACCATTTCTACTCATTTTCTATTGCTTGATTTTGAAATACTGGAGCTAGTGTGTTTTAAAGGCTAGAAGGGAAGTAGCATGAAGATCTCCTGGATTAGAGTCTATTACTAATGCTTATCCCTCTGGAAAATGTACATGAGAACAGGTGGTATTTTGATCTCTGATTGTAAAGTCATTGCCCACTTAGCTCCACACTTGTCAGTACATGGCTATCAGCACCATGGACAGCTGCTCTCCAGTCAGACTCATTTAAACAGATTTTACAGTAAAATATAGCAGTCTTCTGTTCCTCTGCATTTTAAGATCATACGGCTATTATGACAATTATTTAAACATTTTTCTATAATTCATCATTCAGAACATTTATTACTTCTATTTTCTCAATTAGGAAGCTGCAAGTAGTGCATAAGAATGTCATTTGAAATTAACATTCCAAACAGAGCATCTTCTGGGATTTTTGTTGTTGTTGTGTGTGTGTTATTCAAGTAGAAAAATTTTACACATTCTATAGGATATTATGCTATATTTTTATTAATATACTATTTTTGTTTATTGACCATAGTTTAAAATGAATTATCAAAATGTTACAGTTCCAAAGAAACATTTGGATGTAGATATCAGATGCCAAGGAAATTCCCTGATCTAAATATGCTCTATAAATATGAAAGTTCTCAGCATCACTTCACTGGCTGGCCAGATTATAACTGAGGTAACTCCCTGCAATGAAATTATTAAATAAAGCCATTTCAAAAGGGAGACTAGTCTCCCAAAGTAGAAAGGGCTGTTCACAAAGAAACTCAGGAAATAAATGTAAGATAATCAGTCTTCTTCATTTTGACTTGGTGGTGGTTGGGGAATCCTTCATTATTTATAAGTGGAGAAGTAAACTTTCTTGCTGGCATTTTGATAAATGGTAAGAATTAGTGGAAAGAAAGCCTGTGAATGCCAAGCAGGAATTTTTATCAGTTATCTATTCATTTCTGGAAGGAATACTTTTATGAGCAACCCATGGTATGGTCTGACCTTTGTGACTGGCTGTGATGTGGCTTACACAGAGAAGAACTGATGTTAGTAACTAAACTTTTAGAATCAATCACCTAAATATAAATCCTTACTAAAAGATAAATAAGTTAGTCAATGCAAAGAAAGGAAGGAAGGATCTTACCTTCCATTGTGGAGAAAGCACAGTAGCAAAATGAATGAAATCAATTTTCTAATTTCTGAAGTGTCATCTAACTTCACTTGCATTATGTGTACAACAAATGATTTTAAGTACTAATATGTGCCAGGCACTGTTATATAATCTGCAATTTTTTTGTAGCCTTGAAATCTGTTTCTTTCATGTACTGGTTGCTTTGATAGACAATTGACCATTTCCAAGGTTGGTGATGCCCCTGAAAGTGATCAGATTCTCAGAGAGGGTCTCCAATCTCCTATAACCTAGAGAGACAATCTGACCATAAATCAGCTGTGGGATCGGTCACTAGGGTGTCATGACTGTGTCTATGCACTTGAATCTTCCTGCAATTAGTGCTAGTGAGGACTTGTGGCAATAACTGAGAACAGAAATTAGACAGGATTGAACACTCAGGCAGTACAAAGTGCAGAAATGCCACCCACTGATTCATGGCACTGCCCTGGGAGGGAGGGGGCAGATATGGACAGGAAAATCATTTGGAAAGAGCAAATACATTTTGCTCAGTTTGGAATCATGGTGTTGTTTCTTCCTAGCCATGGCCCTTTGATGAGTCCCTAAAATTTCGTGAAGCTTCAGTCTCTTCACCTGTAGTCATGCCTACCTCCATTCATCATTTTGAGGATTACACAAAATTGTGTGAAAGCACTATGTAAATTCTAGAAACACTGTGAGAGACAGTATGTGCCTGAGGGATGAGCAGAAAGGCTAAGATACAAATGGAATAATGTTTCTTTGCACTTTTTTGTTCCATTATTAAATGCCATGCAAATCTAAGCCTCCACGTTTTACCATGGCTTATATACAATATGCAATATGGGTGAAAAGTTTAGATATATCCGGACAAGATCTCCATTAAAGATTTTTGTTAATGCGTAAGTGGAGAAAAAGTAATAAAATAATAGAATATTCTGCTGAGTCTCTTTCACCTATTAATCTTAGGCTGACAAGTGATTGTGTATAGAAATGTGTGTCTGATGTTTGTATGTGGTGAATGTGTTGTGAGTATATAATGTACGTGTGCATAAGTGTGTGATATGTGTGTGTGTAAGTATATACATGTGTCTGTTGTATGTGTGATTTGCGTGGCTGTGAGATATGTGTATGTGTGTGTGGTGAGTATGTGCCTGGTATCCATGGCAGGAGGTGATGTGTGTATGTGTTTGTGTGTGTTGGCGGAGGCCTGTGTGTGTGCAATGTGGTATTGTGTGTGCACATGTCTGACTTGAGGCTCAGGGAATTGACATTTTAACTGAATTCAAATGTTTTCCAGGAGCAGAATTTTCATGAGTCCATATCATTTTTTTATTCTGGTGTCACAACTTGAGTTCCATTCATTTCCCATGTCCTTGGACATGAAGTTGCCTTGACCCAACAACTATAAACAGTCAATCTCTAAATTAAACATGAAGTTTTGACCTTTCTTCTTCCATTTCATAAAAGACATATAACAGCTAAATGCTAAGATTGTGTAAATAAAGCCTTTCAAGAAGCAATAATGATTTTGTGCACACTTACATATTTTTCCTAAATGTTCCTGTAAAAAACCCTAAGCCCTTAATGCCTTCAAACCACAGGAGATTTGGGGAGGGTATAGCTCAGTGGTAGACCGTATGCTTAGCATGCATGAGGTCCTGGGTTCAATCCCCAGTACCTCCACTAAATATAAACAAACAAACAAACCTAATTACACCCCCCCCAAAAAAAGTTTTTAAAACCACAAGAGATTTAAAATAATTCACGCATGGTGAAAGACAATGGAGAGAATTTAGCAGACATTTATTTGATGTGTTTTTCTCAAGTTTCTACCAAATACATTAAAATGATAAATAGCTCTAAATTTTCTAAAGGATCATTTCTTTTTTCATTTTCTTCCTCTGATATATTTCCTGAAGTAAATAACTATTGATTGATAATCCTACAGCAGGAAGTAGTAAAATGATATACTTAACATTTCCAGCATTAAAGAAAGAGATTTAAGATGTTTCTTGATAGTAACCATTACCTCTTTCAGTTTAAAAGTTGTATCTCTAAAAATTAGGCCATTCTGATCTCAAATGGCATCCTATTCAGCGCTTATGCCATAGTAAAAACCAAACTGAGGTAGAAAGGACATGTACAGAGTTTAGTTTTTATTAGAGATTTTAAAGGGCACTAAGTAGCCAACAGAAAATATGATTTAGATTCTGCATTTGTTTGAAACATTAGGCAAAGTAAATGGAAATGTTTTGCTGATTAAGCCATTGCATAGACTGGTGGCTTTACCCTTATTATATTTCAGTGTCTAAGATTGTACACTCTTTGGTAACATTGTACCAGTGACTGATGTAATATTTCCAAAATCCTTGCAGCATCAAGCAAGGTCAGAAAATGTACTCAAAATAGGCCAGTGAAAATATTCCTAGCCTAGGATTTCCTTTCAGTTATTGCAATATATATACACATTAATACATGTTCATTAGGATATCAGATATTTTCTATGTGGAGCTGTCAAAAGGAAAGACCAAAAGATCACATTCCTTTGTCCTAATGCATTGCTGATTACCTGCTTATTTTCTGTGTGTGTACATGTGTGCACCCACGTGTGTATGCGTGCATGTGTGCATGTGCACATATGCATGTTTGTTGTATTATTTCACCCTTATTCTTTATTTTCAACTCTTACTACTGCCAAAGATATCCTTAGTTCCACACTCATCATCAAAAACAAAAATGTTTTCAATATCTTTTGATAAACAAATTGATAACTTCTCTAAACTCAATAAGTGCCTTTTCTTACCTTATTTAAACAACCAATTACAGGGTTAGAACAACAGAAAAGGGCTTGACAACCTATGGTGTGTACACTAAGGCTAACAGTCTGGCTGGTGAATGGCAAAAGCATTAGCAAGCCCCATCAATAGAATACAATGTTCATTGCTTATGCCTAGTGGGCATAGATAAAGAATGCAGTCCATTAAAGAATGTTAAGTTTCCATTTTCTTCATACTAGTCTAGGAGGTATTTCTTTCCATTTTCCCTTCCGCTTGTCCCCCCATCACTGCTCCTCAGTTTTTCCCTCAAAATAAAAATCTAATGATAAATACTCATAAAACTGTTGGGAAGAGGTAAATGAAGGTGGTTGCAAATACCAAGGCACAAATGTAATGATTTGTCCTGTGGGAAACTGAGTGATGACACTGGTTGCTGAATGCATTTTACTGAAGGCCTTCCTCTACATACACAAATTTTATAATTCCCATGTGTTCCTGCTGACAGATGTTTCTTTGATATTTTTAATGCCTGGGGGTCGCAAGTGCTTTGGAGATTATAACATGATTACTGGTTGATTGTTAAGAACAATCAGTTCTTTCTCTCCCCACCCTATTATTTCCCCTGAATCGTGTGCACACATCTCCTTCTTTTTCTCTAAAGGATCCACATGGCAAAGACAGATTAGCTACCAACCATAATCCATTTGCCTGTCTTCTTAGGTTCCCAGATCGACTGTATTTCTCAGGCTCTCTTATGACTAAACAAGGTTATATGACTAAATTCTGGCCAAAGGAGCATGGGGAGAAGTGATGACACGCCTACCGGGCATGACCCATAAATACCTTCAGCCTGATCCTCCACTCTCTCTCTCTTTCCCCATCTGCTAGCTGCATATTGATCCCAGGTCCATCAGGAAGCCATGTGTTGAAAATGGTAGAAGATTTGTCAACCAGGGTCTCAATAACTGTGTGGAGCAGAGACTCTTCTACCGTGACTGGATTTCACGTAAGCAAGAAATAATTATCAATGTTGAGGTGTCAGGTTTACTGGTGGAACAGCTAATATTACTTAACCTACATAATGGACTGCACTCAAATAAATTTAATAAATGGTTCACCTGGTGCTTGGTACATAGAAGATGCTTAATAAATTAAAATTATTATTTTATATAAATATTGGAAAATATTATTTTACCTATTTTGCATGTACTGACCTCTTAAGATTGTAACACGCTATAATAGCAGGAGGCAGAGGCATGCAGCCATGTGGGCTCTGCTTTGCTGTCATACAGGGAAGTTTTGAGATCCAATACTCCTGTGGAAAATGAGTACAAATGGGCATAGTCGGGGGTAATACCCAGCCCCTTCATGGTGCCCTTCGTATTTTAAGATATTACTCATCACTTTCTCATTGCACTGACGAAAATAATAGCGAATGCCTCCACTGTGCCCCTGATTCCCCTGCCATTAGGTTGTGATGTGGTAACTTCTGCAACAAACAGTTCAGAAGCCTGAATGGCTATGGTGAAGCTAGAAGCTTAATTAAAAGCAAGGGCTTCAAGTAAGTAAAAACAATTTTATGTTAGTAGCAGAAAATGGTTCTATGGTTGACATCTAAGTCATATCTAATTATAAGACCCTAACATACAAAGTAGTACATCAAGTCATAATGGAGAAAATGTCAAAATTCATAGCTTATTTTCGCTTCGGAGAGGCATATTGTCAAAAAAACTGAAATACATCTATGAGATTTGGTTGTGTTAGATCTCTAACCAAAATTCACACAAAGTGAACATTCAGTATTAAAGCTTCCTTTCTTTGCAGTGTATTACATTGGAAACATAGAGCAGTCATTGTTGTCTTAACACACCATCACTGCACGTTCAAACTGTGGAATTAGACAATCGCCTTTTTGAACAGAAATTTTAAATGCATTGATTTGCTGACGGGAAGACTATTTTAGACAAACCAAGATTTTTCACTTAAAAAAGCAATTAGCAAACAGACTCTGCAATTATGCCATTATTTACACACATATAGAAAAATGCACAAATCATAAATCTGCAACTCAATGGATTTTGCAAAACCAGTTCACCAGAATAACCAGTAGTTGGATTGCAAATAGACCATTATCAGCATCCCAGAAGTTTATACCTCCTTCCAGTCACCAACTCTTTGTTCCAAGGGTAACAACTGCCCTGACCTCTCAAACTACTGCTTTTCTTCTTTTTGAACTTTATGTAAATGGCATCATATAGTAACTTTAATATATATTGACAGTTTTCCAAAATGGTTGTACCTAATTATACTCCTATCAGCTGTGCATGAGTTCCAGTGCACTCATCATTACCAAGACTTGCTGGTGTTCATGTATTACTTTTATAATAACAACAGTAACTATGATGGTTAATAATTAAAGACCCATCTCAATTCAGAGGAAAAAATATGAAGCCTAGGCCATTTACAAGAAAATAGAGTAAAAATCATACACAAGTCCCCAGATATTTTATTTGAATTTCTAAGATTTATATTATGGATATGTTTATACGTACAGAAAATTAGAGAAAATCATCTATATTCAATAATAGTTAATATTTTACCACAATGCTTCAACTTTTTTTGCTGAAATATTAAAGTGAATTACAGGTGTTGGGGCATTTCAGCCTGGACATTTTAGTATACATCTCTAAAAAGTAAGAAAATGTTCCTACAGAACCACAATGCTATGATGACATCTGACGAAATTTACAATAATTTCCTTGTAACAGTCAATATCTAATCTCTATTCAGATTTCCCCTACTTAGCCAAAATACATCTTTGACAGTTGATTTATTAAACAAGGAATTACTGAAGGACCACATATTCCATTTGGTTGTTATGTTTCTGAAGTACCTTAATCTGAGTCCATGCCCCACCCTACTTCTTAATGACAACAGTTGATTTGCTAAGTAAACAAGGCCAGTTGTCCTGTAGGAAATCCCACCTGCTGATTAACCTGTTTCCTCACAGTCTCACTTAACTTGTCCTTCTATTCCATGTATTCTTGTAAATTGAAAGTTAGATCAGGAATGCTTCCTAGAGGGGCAGTGACCTGCAACATCTCATCACCCAGGAAGCAGACACCATCCAGTTTCTCACCATTGGAGATGTTAAGACTAATCAATAGATTAAGATGGGGACCCCCAGATCTTTTCATTGTAAAATCATGCATTTATCCTTCTAATATTCCATTAATCTGGAGGATAACACCAGCTATTTTTAAATTAACAAGAAAATGTTTTTAAGGAATATTAAGATATAAGATTTGCCCTGGCAAAATTCTCAGAAGCTTATCTACAGTATATGTTTCCCCAATTCTGTCTCTTTGACCCTTCTTTTTCTTCTTTCTCAACATATCCTCTGCTCCCTCCTTACTTCCTAGGTGTATAGTGGTGCTAGATGGAAGATGATAACTAGGTAGGAAAGGTAAACCAGAAGACCTCTGGCTCTAAACTCCTGAACACAACCTCCACAGGTTGGAAACAAGGTTATGAACAGCCTTTTTCATTTATTACCTATGCAGTAGCTTTCATTCATAAGATGTTTTACAAACAGTTTTTGGAGCAAACAATTTCCCCATCTGTGACAATACTCTCTAGAAGCAATTTATTTTACAAATATGGAATAAGCTCTTGAATATTAAAAATAATTATTGTTAATCCTACAAGAATATCAAAGCTTGAATGGACCAATAATAATACAAAACATAAGAGCATAAAGAGGGTAAGGGTTTTTTTTAACAGTGTTTCAATAGTTTGGAAGAAGCCACAATAAGGAGGCATGATTCTGATTGTGCCAGTACTCATGAGCTGTACAATTACTCACTGAACATTTGTCTCTTTAATGCACTGTGTCAATTCCTGATGTTGTTTTGCTGTCCCATGAGGCATATTCCTGGGTCTCAAGGGTGGAAAAATGCTAGAAGAATATTAAGTCCAGAACATAAATGATGGACATTCACCATGTGCTGAGCAGCCTGAGCTGAGCTAAAATTATTGTTTAATATTAATTTATTAGATGATTGCTGAGTCAAAAGGACATAATATCCATTATGTAAATGTTCAGTCTTGGACACTGTGCCCCAAGACTTATTAACTCCAAGCTGAATACTGAATGGCACGCATCCAAAACTAAACATGTTCAAATAGACAAGTACTTTGTCAAGAAAAAGCAAGACCATTCTGTAAGGAGTACATGATGTCCTACAAACGAGAGAGTGGTTTTTCTTGAACAGTATTAAAGACTCAGGGCAGAAAAAGTGGGCAGTGAGGGAAGAAGCAAATAATATGGTGGAAAGGAAAGAGCGGTCATTGCTCTACATTAGTTCACATTTTCTCCTGCCCCTATTTGAAAAAAATGTCTAAAGGTACAGTGCAATTCTATGTACAGAGGGCTTACAATTATACTCTGCAAGTCTTTCAAGGGTTTAGAATAGAAATGGTCCTCTTTGTAATGTTTATGACAGAAGGTGATTTGTATAATTCACTGGTTTATCTGTTCACCTTCGTGTTTTCAAAAAACTGCAGTTGTGACTCTGTGATTCAATTTTTGTGGAGCCTTGAGTTTTATACAGCTGACCTGAAAAACCTTTCATATATAGTTGTCCACAGAGAATAAAGAGATTTTTCTCTTTTATGAGCCTTCCTGTGGCTCTGAGGGAGTTCCTGTCACATAGAATTGCCCTCATTAGTTCAAAAACCTACACATCCTTTAAAGGACCAGTAAGGGAAGGACTTTTTGCCCCTAGTTCCCATACACAAGGTTTAGCTTTCTTTTCAGATTCTAGAACAGTGTTTAGTATGAAACTGGTGTCCATTAAATGATTACTGAATGATTATACAAGAAAATGAACTGCTGTATTATGTCGATACAAGAGAATGTGTTCTGGGCAGCTTTTGAAGCTTATACGGCAAGAATGTAAACAATTTGGCCAATTTAATAATTTCCTGAGCAATTCAAACTATTTATTCCTTCAGATGATGCCTTTCAGTGGTAGTGGGGACAGGGTATATGAATAGAGTGCTCTAAGGGAGCTATCTCTATCATTATGTTCTTTTGCTCTCAGAAGGAATCACGGCATATCTGTGAATCTCATATGGGCAATATATGTTTTCAGAAAACATGCAGCAACACGTGACCTAGCAGGAAAGGGCAGGCATGAGAACTTTTATGGGTGGAGGAACTGATTAGTAGATGCGGCAGCTAGATGTGTGACTTTGCCACATTTTTCATGTGTTTTCTGGGGAGGGTTCTCCTATCCCTGAAATACAGTCCTGGATACCTTTGACTTTATCCCTTGAAGACAGCTGACTTCTTTGTCTGCAAACTCTTGTGGCACCGTGTCTTACCTCCTGGAGAAGACTCTCTTGTTGCTTTCAGCTAGATCTCTCCAGGACTGGCTGCCTCCTGCTGGTTTTGCTGACAGCTATTCAAATCATCTGCCACAGTCCACCTCAGCCCTTTAGGTCCCGGCCAGCTGTCAACTTTCTAGATGGTGAATTGGCCAAGATGGGAGATAATGACCATTGTAGGAAGAAGCTACATTGTCACTATCTACTTTATTTGGGATGTAATTCCTACCTGCCCTGCATAAGCTTCAGCATTCCATTAACTTTGCTACACCTGGCCATGTTCACTGGCCCCTAACATCCACTCCTGGGCCTGCCATCCCTTGGTCAGAGACATGCCAGGGGCTCCCCAATGAAAGGTATGCTCACCTCTTCAGGGCCATCTGGATCCTACCATTGGATTATGTGTGAGGTCTGTCCTTCATATGTTGGATGTGATTGTAATAAAACCACCCCTTTCTGGAGATGAGCCTTCCAAAAGCAATCAAGAGAGGAGGAGAGAATGTCACTATAAAAAGCTTCCAAGACCCCAGAATAAATGATGAATTCAAGAACAAAAGGCCTAAATATTATTTTTAAAAATGCTTCATAGTAAAAGAGAAATCTCTTTACCAGTGGCCAATGTCTCTAAAAGTGAGCCCAAAAGGAAGAAGCAGTAGACAGGAGAGAAGCTGGTAGGGGGAAAAAATGGGAATAAATCAATGGAAATTAGCAGTAAAGGAAGTAGTGGTCAATTAGAAGTGGTGATGGTGGCCAGTCATTGGGAGAAACAGAGCTAACGGTTGGAGAGAGAGAGTTTGGGACCACTCAGGCTGAAACTTGGAAGTCTGAGAGCAGGCCTGGGACAATCTGTTAATCCCATGGAAAAAAAGCTGAAAATTTACCTCTACTTCATGATATCCAGAAAATAAATTCCACATAGATTAAGGACTTTAATGTGAAAGCCAAAACTTAAAAACCTTTAGAAGAAAACATAGGATAAAATGTTTATGACTCCAGGGCAAGGATAGAGTTCTTAAACAAGTTATAAAAAAGTATACAGCTCTTACAGGAAAAGACTGAAGTTTGAGTCCATTAAAATTAAGAATTTCTGTTCCTCAAAAAAGAGAAGTAGAAAGATAAACCACCAACCAGAAGAAAGTATCTACAACTCATGTAAATAGAGATGTTATTCAAACTATTTAACAAGTGTAGCATAGGCATCACCAATCAGGATGGAAGCCAACCACAAACCACTATCACATGCATCCCAGCTTGATACCCCCACATGTTACAAAGGATTAGTAACCAGGGTACATGAAGAACCCATACATAAATACATGCTATACATTCAAGTAGTGAAGTGGGCAAAAAGTCTAAACAGGCATTTAA